CCCATAACCTCACGTGGCCGCTCACTCGGCGTGCTCTGCCAGGATTGTGGAAAAAGTCCATTAGCAGTAAAAATTTCCAGATTCACAGTGTTTCTAATCACATTAATGACGGCTCTGCTCAGTCCGTGTAATTCACCGTGGTGTGACAGTGAACCGGCACGCACTCTGGAACCGAGGAAGTTGCATGAAACTCAGCAATCATTCATTTGATTATTTACACCTGTGACTGGTTCGGCTGTGCAGCGGCTCCCACTGCTGGACTGAGGGCTCACCTGATGCTGTTGGACTTTTACTGCTGCACAGCCCGACTCTACTGCTTCCAGAACGTTTTACACAAACAACACTAATTATTTGCAAATGGCTCCTGACCCAGGTTTGACATACATACTTCTGCTAAGATGCTGTTAAAATCCCACTCATGCCAGGTTAACGTGTACGGCTGCACTGAACTCTCACATCGTGTACCCCCCCCCCACCCACTCTCCCTCCAAACCCTGTCCCTCTATCCCCGATGATGACTGCAAATATTTAGATTTTCTTCAAAGTTGAAGGAGTCATTTTTTACCAAATGCGTGCTCCTGTTGTAATTACACTGGAAGATTTATGAAGCTTATAACTCTTCAAAACATCCTGCGCTGAAGAGACTCAACGAGCCTTGACCCGAGTCATTCATCACACTCAGAGAGCAGGAGGATTCCGTTTTACAATCCTCCACACTGATCTGAACATTAATACCTAAACCCTCTGGAATGCGAGTGCGAGTCCGGCCTCTCTATTAGCTCACGGCCGAGACAAATGATGAAGAATATAGATTTATGTTGAGCAGGCACGGGGCCAGCAGCAGAGAATGGGTGGTTTTATCAGCCGAGGGTGTTGGCCCAGGCCGGACGACCGTATTCACCTCAGCGATCACCCCCGGAGTGCATGTAAAACCTGGACGGTTAACTCTTGGAATGTCCGCCACCTCTATAGAGAAAGGCAGTAAATGTATAGACGTTTAACTGACGGTTTTACACCCACAAAGATTAAATGGTCACATGATGGTCTGGAGCTGTGGACATGTCCCGCTCCTCGACCAGAGACAAGAATCTAAGGTTTGTACACCTGTTTTTCACAAATACACTGATTTTTACAAAACCATTTTTTTTTCCAAAATCATAACAAATTCTTGATTACTTTTTCCTTTTTTGAACAAAAACCTCTCTAAAAAAAACAACTTCAGGTCAAATTACAACAGCCGTTGCTGATCAGGCGCCTGTAGCACAATTAGAAACATTTTGATTAGAAAACAAAGTAAAAAAATAAATAAATAGAATAAGAACCTACATGTGACATGTTAATATTCTAATGAATTCTAGATATTGGATCCAGCAGTGTTTGTGTCCAGAGCCTGGCCTCCTGCAGACTGAGATGACTGATGTCTCTGAGGAGGAGAAGATTAATAACGTCAATAGTTCCACTGGGACCAGGAGAAAGGACACAGATACTGGTCCCCACGGTGCCGTCACTGACCCTTACATCTGGTCCACACGGCTGCCCTGGACAGTCGCTGCACTCCTACACAAAGAGCGAAGCTGAGCTAAGACTGAGAACACACCCTGCTTTTGTTTTGGGTCTGTGAGGCCGAGTTGGAAGGAAGAGGAAAAAAGGGGGTTAAAAGTTAACAGGAGACACATTCAGGGGTGTGAGAGGACGACGGTGCTGATGAGGAGGAGGAGCCCTGGAGTTAAAAGGGAAAATCAGAGTCAGAATTTGGCTCACGTCAGACGAGGACGACTGCCAAGAGGAAGAAAAAGAACAATGAGGAACATAAAGAGCAGGGGCCTTAAATTAGAAGGTGGACCAGATTCAGTCATGAAGGAGCAAAGGAACCTGTGAAACTCAACACCACATCTTCATGTCGTTAACCTGGGACCAAAAAAATCAACTCTTCTTTTCAACATTAGCAAAAATAATAGCTGAAATGGTACAGTGATCAAAAAAATCTAAGTAAAATGAAAATAATATTCAGCATGAGAATTCTAAGTTGCTAAAAAATTGTTGGCAAAAAATATCCAACTTCAAGGATAAGCCATTCCTAAACGGTCGGTAAAAGTCGACCAGATTATATGGAAATTAGCCAGAGATTTAGCTAGCCACATTGGGCTAAAAAGGCTAGCATAGTGCTATTGCTAAATCTGGCAAATAGCCTCAAGAAATAATGACTGTTGTTTCACAAAATTACAAGGAATTAGCAAAGACGTGAGAGCAGATGATAACAAGCCTCCAGTCACTAGGTGGCAGCAATCCATACAGTGGTTTGTACAAATAAAAATATACGTTATCAGGATCTGAATAGTATTTCAATTCACGGAGTGATCGCAATACATAAAAATTTGAGCGATTTTAAAAGTAATTTTACAAATGTATTTTTTTGAAAACCGAAAAACCCCTTAGACAGTTTGATTCGCCAAAACCTGGACATGTCTGATTTAAGGTACAACAAAAAAGAAAAAAAAACAGATTATTTTTTTAACTCAGGGACGAGCAGAGAGTGGGTGTGTTCCAAAGATCAAATATGTGAGAGACGGTTTTTCTTTCTCTCTTTCTCTCAGTGTCTGTGAGAGGTCGTATTGATGAACAAATCTCAGAGCTGCCGTGTGTCACTGTCAGCGAACGCTCCATCCATGACATCATCGGCGTGTTTGACAGGTGCTGCAGCACACTGGTGTTTGTCCTGGAAAACACAACGTGAAGAGCAACCAGGGAAAATATATCTCATGTTGAACAGATACCTGTTTTAACAGATGGTCAGTGGAGATAAAAACTGCCGCGTCATTCACTCCCTCTAGTGGTGCTTTACATACAGTAAAGTTACAGAATTACAAATCAGTACAGGCAGTTTTTGGATTAATGTTTCCATAAAATAAATGGCAAAAGGTTTAAGAGGAAGATGATTTAAAAAAGTAGATAATTAAGGGTTTTTCAAATAGACCTTAAAGTTTGACTTCATCCTTAAATTCCTTATATTTCGAGTATAACAGCAAAACAGCGACTGGTTAGCCTACCCAAAAATACAGAAAATACTCAAAATCTAACAAAATAAATAAAGCCAAAAAGTATAAAAGTTTGCACGAATGAGCTAAAAGTAAGCAAAAATAGCGCAAAAATATATTTTAGCGATCGCTTAAAGCTAGATAAATATAATGGGTTATAACTGGGCCCAAAAGTAACTTCTCATGTAGCACAGTTGGCCCCAGGACCAGACTTTGGACACGCCTGGTGTAGTACTAATAAAGTGTACCGAACACTGACATTCAACCTGTCTGCTAACATGTTTCCTTTTACCCGTCTGTCGCGGCCGCGTGTGTGTGTCTGTACACCACATGTGCAGTCTAAAAAAAAGTGACATCATCCGTGTGCGACCGCATTGACAGGCAGCGCAGACCCAGTGGGCTCCATGGAGTCTCCGCCACATTCTATCTGGCATCGCACCCCCATAATCTGTCTCTTCTGTGCACCCAAGCCTCAAAGCCTCAACTGCACGGGCCTCTGCTCTGCAGCAGCGTCAGGAAAACCCTGGTGTTTTCTATAGGATGTGACCATTTACAGCGGTGAAGTGTGTGTGTCCGTGATGGTGTGTGTGTGTGTTGTGTCTCAGCTATAGCTTTCCCCTCATCCAGTGCCAATTCTTTACAGACCTCTGTATCCCCCCCCCTCCCCTCCCCTCCTGTCTCCCCTCAGTTCGTCCCCTTTAATGGCTTTAGCAGATCTAGTCGGGCACGCCACAGCTACCCGTGGCCAAGCCAAACAGGACCCAAAGTCACAGAGTTGCAAGTAATAAATGGTCAGTACTCGCTGCGTCTTATATCAGCTAGGTTTCGACGGAGGAACATATGTGGTCGACGGTCGACTGGTTTCTCTGAGGTTCAGAGGATCTGACTGAGGGTCCGACCCTGCTGCTGCTGTGTCACATGGCCTGGGATTGACAGGAGGTCTGACTGTGCAAAAATCTTAGGCAGGTGATGGCTACCCTTTTTCATCTGTTTCAGTAGGGCTGAGGAAGTCAATGTGAAGTTTTGCAATAATTTAACATTATTATCATTGTTGTTGATGAGCTTTTTGCTGACTGGCAAAACACAAGGTGGTGGGCGGGGCTATAGATAATTACTGGCTTGGTTCTGGTGTCATCGCCCATATTAACCAATGACAACATCTGGGCTGGCGCTACGACTGCTGCAGCTCTCACATGAACCAGAGCAGAAAAGAACTCGCAGAAACCGAAAAAACCAAGTTGAATTTGTTCGTAGAGTCTAAAGTATCACTTAAATCCAGGTACTCAACTTTTTGTACAGTTGGGTATAATATAACTGTATAATTTTTTTTTTTTAATTACTGAATTTTGCGTCAAACAAGACAATTAATCGTGCTTTGTTATACAATTTTACACAACATATACAATGATGTAGACGACCCCTAACCAGACTTTCTATTGATTTGGCCTAATTCTCTCAAGTGTTCCGTGGCCCATTTGTCGGGTCTGACCCAGTCTTTGGTACTGGCCGGTCCTGATGTTGTGATTGACGTTCTGGTTCTCCAGATTATTTGGACAGTTCTCAGCCGCGGTGTCCGGTTACGTTTGGGTGAATGAGTGTAAGGTTAGATTAGGCTGCGGTGGAACGTCGTAGTAAAAGGGGAGAGCGCTGATGTCTGGCAGGGGGTTAGAGGACGGAGGAATGCTTTGCGTCTCAGTTTTCATGTCGTTTGGGTTTTGTGTGTTTAGAGGGGCAACAACTTTGACCCCCCCGTCTCCCCTGGAGTTGACTTTCCCCTGATCCCTGGATATAGACGTCCCGTTTTTCTTTTCTTTTTTTCCCAGCTGTCACCAGTGGTGTGTGTTAGTGTGTAGGTTATCCCTCTGCTCTCCCTCTCCACATCTTTCACTTCTTCATCCACTCTGATCTCTGCTCCAGAGGTGGGTGTCCGTTTCAATTTGTTGTCATAGAGTTTTCAATTAAAACAAAATCAACTGTGATTGATTTTTTTTTTTTTTTGGCCAGTA